GGGGAAGTAAAGCTGTTTGTTGAGTTTCCATCTATTCTTTCGTTTGATTTTGACCGTATAAGATTGCCTAGTTCTAAAAACCAGTTTTCACCATTTTGCTGAACCCCGCAATAATGAAGATGTCTTTGTTGTTGCTGTTGTTCCTCAATGGACTAGGATCTCCCCTGTTACGACTTAATATTAATTTCGGTATGGGTTTTCTGCTTAAGTCAATACGGTGATGAAATTATTGGGGATCATCATTGTGGGTTTCGATGTAATAGATAAATCGCTGATCAAATTCTTTGCATTCTACAAGTACTGAGAAAAATCCGAAGTAGAGTGAGTCAGTACATCAGCTATTGATGAAATTCAAGAAAGCCCATTAATCAATCTTCATCTTTAATTGCATTTAATCCGCTATACCGATCAATGTTCACTTGCGTACAAGATGGTGGCAGCTACCATCGCTTCTATTTCAACTTTATTTCCTTTCGTAGTTACCTCTCAGTGTGATCATGCTGTAGATGAGGCGGTTAGTCGCCGGCTTTCCACCGCGGAGGCCCGGGTTCGATCCCAGGTCAGGTAATGTGGGTTTTGTGGTGGACAATGTGGTGCTGAGGCAGGTTTTCCCCCCGCGTATTTCGGTCCTCCCTGCCATTTCTCATTCCACCTACTGCTCCACACTTACCATCACCCGAGGAATGTACAGTAGGCCAAACAATGACCGACGTAAGAAGTGGACTCAGTCTCACCCCGCCCGAAGAAATTAAAAAGAAACTCCTAATATTCTGTGTGTCATCTGATATATTCCCTTGACAACCGATGTATTTCATTATTTACTTCTTGCCCAATATCATACGGAACAAAAATGGAGGGTTACCATCGCAGAAACAGTCAATTCGTAACACATTTCGGCCAAGAGAGGCCTTCAGGCAGGTCTTGAGGAATGGTGATGGACTACATACGAACTACAATGCTAGTTACCATTCGTGTATTCCTCAAGAATCACCTGATGATGGCCCATCTGTGCCGAAACATGTCGTGAATTGATCAATAAAGACACCTGCTTGTGTGACGGGAATCTCTCCGTTTGTATTAGCAAGCACCACAAACAGGATCCAATACTACCAGTAATGACACTTTTGGTCGGTAAAAATTCTGAGCTTGTTCTACAGCAGAAATTAAAATTATTACTTTACAGTCGATTGGACATTTCCCTTTATAATAAATACATTTATTTTCTTCCATAATGATATTTTCATGTTAAAGCGTTATCCAAGGTTCTGCAGAAACAAATCTAAACGCTGCATCAATAGCCTCGTGAGAACTCAATTTGAACTGACAAACTGCGCAAGCGCAATGCTACGCTGACCAACCACAATGTAGGGTGAATGCCTTTATGTTGATACACAGGTTGCACGGGTCATACGAAGCACTGAAGTATGGGACCCTGCTGGACGGCCTAGCGGACCTCACTGGAGGCATCACCGAAAGCATCAGCATCCGTCAGGACCCCACGACCTGCGGGCGCATGCTCAGCAAGCTGCTCGAAATGACGTCACTCATCACNAAGCCATTCAACTGCTCTGAAGATGGAGGCGCTACGTTCCTCCGAAACGTCGGCCAAAACGAAGAATACACGGTGCCTAAACCCAGAAGACGACTTTCTTCATTAACTTAACAAGTTCAAAGCAAATTTATGGTGTTCTTATTAACAGGTCTGCAAATATAAAACATGTCCTATCCCCAGCATATTTTTCTCTGGACTACTGTCAGTTTCCAACCAGGACTACTCCATACAGTCAGTGTGTCAATTCTGACAGCAATAGTCTGACTAGAAATAGGCGGGTACAGAACGAAAGCGAAAATTTTATGAAGAGCAATTTCATGATTTGGACCCTTAACATGTTGGACGAGTAGTACAGCTAAGTGAAGGAAGTTATGATTGTCGGGGAAGTAGCATACATGACTTGCATACAAAATTACAGTTGATGAAACTGAAAAAAAGCAGTTATTTAGGAGACTTAAACGGAAGAAACGGTTAAAATTATCTTTCATAAATAGGGAGTAAATGGTGGATTGGATTCAGCTGCCTACAGTTTGGGTCAATTGGCGGCCCATTGTGAACAAAATAGACTGAACTCCCATTTATCAAAAGATTGACGCAAAACGAAATATTTCTTGGCTCTCATGGTTGATAATAAAATATAAATTGTAAATTTTATTGAATTAAATGGTCGTGGCCTGTTTTAAGGTGTCATTGCAGTATTTGCATAGAGGGACCAAGGTCAATATGAAGGTTTCCGGCCCGAGACTCAAATCTGGGACTGTTCAAATACGAAGCAGGATTGCTAACATTTATACTGCGACTGTTGGTTTCAAATGGTGTCTATTGTATCGTGCTGAAAAGCTCTGGGTACTCTTGTGCCAGAACACACAATGTTACAGTCGCGAGAACTAGCTAACCTTGTAAACGAATTAATAAAACATCACGGAAAAAGTCCTTTGTTTTGTTCCAGATTAGAAATCAGCTTGAGAAGCTGGCGAATGGGATCCACATCGGAACGAATTATCGGCTGTATGCTGTTGAAAGGGTATGTATAGTTGCATGTATTAAACAGATTACAGTATGACACTCTGCTCTTGAGAGTTGTGAGCAATGCGGGAAGTCGGATCCTTCAGATCCATTAAAGGCGCTTTGGCAGCATGGATCAGCAACTACTACTTGAGCCAAAACAGAATTCTTTTTATTTCAGTTCAGTACTCCAGTGGCCGGTATGTTCCGAACTGATGCTATACGTAATAGGCAAGACTGTCTCCGTATCTTCTCCCCTTGACGGTCCCATTATCCCTCATTTCACCTCTTCAACCCTTAAGTGTCGAGATTAGATTCTGTACCAGTAATTTTTTCATGCCATTTGTGATACTTTTTAACACGATTCCTCTACGGTAAGGGGACAGAAGGATGGACAACATTACGAAATAAAAAGCTTCACACTTTGTACCCTTTACCATATCCTCTAGTCAACAAAGTTTTGTTACACATAGAAAATTAATTTATTGGAATAATTCTTCGGATATGCTGATTCCAAATATGAAAAAAAAAAGTTCGTTGCATCACAGTATTTTCTTTTTAATTCTGAGCCAAAATGTCACATATATTCGGAGATCTTACAATTTTTGTCGACAGAAATTAGTAAAATAGCCGATTTATTGGTGCAGAAAATGTTATTATCATTCAAATAACTACATCAATTAAAATTGCTTAATAATTTATATGTACGTTCATATGTCTTGAATGAGAAAAAAGCAGAGGGTAACAGAAAAACTGCGTGTAACGGCGGTTTTATTGCCCTTCTTTGTTATGAGCGTGCCCGATTTAGTCTAAAACAGTCTAGTTCATAAATATCGAGACACATTAATTTTGTTGTTGTGCAAGGTTATCTGATTCTTTTCTATGAACAGGAGTGGAACGAACTTGGCTAAGACATATCTCATTCTTAGATTTTGGATTAAAATGACCCAACGTGATTCAAAAGAAAATGGCACTTCGTTCACATTACGAACAGCCCATCTTAGCATTTCCCGCTACATCACTAACTTGATCTTCCGATTCATTATTTCTACAGGTTGAGGAACGTCCACGACGATCGTCCCTTCCTACACGTATTGTCCTGTCTTTAAAGTAATAAAAGAAAACAGAAACCCATGCTCTTCTCACTGTTGCATTTTCAGATTTTACTTGCATAATTTAATAAATCTCGGTCGCCATCTTTCCGACCTCGTCGCTGAATTAATGCGCATGCGTTGTTACGCTTCTCTGATATTGTTATATCGACTTACTTACTTTCTCATGGAGCTGAGCCCTTCTCGAGGAGCCGCCAAATCTGCAGCTACTCAAAAATTTCCTACCATTTTATGGAACCCGAAGGTTCATTACCGTGTTCACAAGAGCCCCCCACTGAGCCCCCTATCCTGAGCCAGATCAATCCAATCCATATCCTATCCTATCTCTCTAAGATCCATTTTAATATTGTCCATCCACCTATGCTTTCGTAATCCCAGTGGTCTCTTTCTTTCTGACTTTCCCACCAATATCCTATATGCATTCGTCTCCCCTATTCGTGCTACATGCCTTCCCCACCTCATCCTCCTTGACTTGATAATTTTAATTATACTTGGAAACTGTTATATCTACATGTGAAACGAAAAATGATATATAAGGCTGAGCGCGAAAGACAGAGCAATGGCATGATCTGTTAACACGACTGCACTTGCAGAGGAACATGAGCGTAACATGTGCATCCCAGTGAGGTCCTCGCCCTAGACGATTTATTTGAGATATTAATTCAGCCCCAATACTTTCTGAAAATTCCTCACAGTTGTACATGTTTTATTCTTTTTATCCCTTTAAGGCACAGTAGTTATTATTTGTATCACTTGATTTAACATTAAAATACAATACATTTGCTGATAATGCATTTATATTTTTCAAATAATTCTCAGAAGAAACAGCAATAATTTGCATAATTTGTGTTAACCAATTAGTCTTTATAGTGGAAATTCAGTGTGTCTTCATTAAGCTAGGAATTTAATGTTTAAATACTATTTAGGTGAGCTAAATGCTTCAAACACCGATCACACTGGCCACGCAGTCTGAGGCATGAAATGTCTTTGACCACTCAAACACTGGGATTGTGGAAATGGATGGGTGGCTAGAATGGTTCAAAATCCTAACACAGAAACCATTTTTATATCAGTCTGCCTGCCCATGACTTTCAGATGGGAGCGGGAGTTGTTCCATTTGGCACAACACGTTTGGTACAGCATGCTGCAATTGAAGAAAAATTGGGGGCGTGCCTTTACATGATGCCGAGCAACTGGTGGTCATGTATTAATAAAATAACACATGTGAAGACTGTAAGATAATTGGCACTGGCCGTGGGAATGCTTTCGAAGTTCATGCTGATGTCAGGTTCAAGGTGCTTTGTGACTGAACTTTCATAATAAGTAGCTGTCTTATATGTAGTACTGTTGTATGTGAATATCCATTCTTTTACTCTATCTGCCAGCTACTGTCTATGTCTGAATGGTAAAAGAAAATNTGCCAAATCCCAGAAGACTGCTTTCTTCATAGTCACCGCCGTGAAAGCCTCAAATCTTACAAATGTTAATTTATTCAACATTTTGCTTTTCTGATGAATCTCAGTGGTCTGCTGTACTGTAACATTTTTCCATCTCATGGAAAGATTCTTTGGGTTTTTCTGAATTACAGTTATAGTTTAAATTGTAATGTAGGAAGCTATAAATTTGCAAGAATACTGTATTTACCGAGTAGACCAATGACCTTTGGTAATTAAATAAAATTAATAATTCTATGAGTTGTTTCTGCTATTTAAACTGCATACTCAGATTTACTGTAGAGCTAGAATTTGTATCATATTCTTGAGTTTCCACGACAAGTTTAAAAATGTATTCTTCAATTATTGTGTACTAAGAGTATTGTTCAGGACATTACATAATCATCTTACAGTGTTCTGAAATATATATTACATCTTAACATCACGTTTTTTACACATAAAGTGTTTTGCTTTTTACATAGGCATTCTGTAGAATGCATGTTTAACATGTAGTGTTAATTTTCAACTGGCATTTAACTCTACAGTAATTTTATCTCTCCAGTAACAATATCTTCTTGTGCATTAGGGTGTTAATATTTGCAGGTGGAGACATTTGGTGGTGATCCTGTACAACTTGTCAAGTTAAGGAATCCAATGGGTCCTGGTGGAGAATATGTAGGGGCCTGGGCTCGAGATTCATTGGATTGGGATGAGGTGCCACCACAGGAGAAGGAACGACTGGCTGTGAGGCATATGGGAGATGGTGAATTTTGGTACGCATTAAAACTCATATTTCTATAGTGATGCTTTCACACAGTTCTTTATTTCTTTTAATAGAAGCATTTGAGATGTAAATATTTTCTGTCTATACATCACATTATTTTGGTACCTATGAAGATGACTCTAAATTTTATGTCTCCTTTGCGCAATGTACATGAAAACAATGCATATAAGGATGGTTATGCCTGTCTATCTGTATTTTTCATGTCTAGAATTGCTGGACGAAATTTGATAAAATTTGATATGAAATTTATGCCATTAAAAGTCACTCCACACTTACACCTGTAAATATCTTACAATTGGTAATAAAAGGTAAAAAGCTGAAGTTGAGCCTGTGTTTAATTACCTAATCACCATGCCATGAAGTAATATAGTGGAGCAGAGATGTGGCTTTTCCATTCTTGATGCTGGCACTAGATGGAAGTAGGAAATGCGTTTCTGGCATTTCTCTTTTAGCAGCTAAGCTCTTGCAAAACAATGTAGTATTAAAGTTACTGTGTTAATTTTCATATATAGATTTTTTACATTATATAAATATTGTAACGTGTTTTGCCACTGAAGACGCCGTTCAGATTGTTAATTGGTTTATTTAACAACCTACAAATCGTAACTACAATTAACTATAACACAGTTGTGGGTTTACCCAATTTATAAACCCTACACAATAATCTAGTCACTCTGTCTTCAGTAGTCTTCACGTATTTATAACTCGGGAGCTATACAAGTCTCTCTTAATTCCACACTCTGAATATAACTGTACTACAGCACATAATCTTGAAGTCACACAATAAGTCTTCACTTGCTGACTTCTCAGTTATTGCACACTATCACATAAGATCTTCTAACCACGTGTTTGGGTCTTCTTCCCATGACTGCTGCTATATGTCAACTGTCTTTGGCGGCTGCTACATTTTAACTGTCTCCTTAGACAGTGTGGTTCTCTTATAAACCCTCAGCCAGACAACGGGAAAACGACTCGCTTCCTTGTTGCCTAGTCTCCGTGTTTACAGCTGTTGCTGGGCAACGCTGTTGAGAGTTGTTTACTGCTGCATAGCAACCGTGGCATCCCCTGCTATGTCACCGCGGTGGAGGGAGCGGACTGTTGACTGGCCTGTTACCGTAGCAGCGACAGCACCCGATGTTGTTACGTCGCCGCTGGTGGGGGAGGGGATGTCCTCCATAGCGCAATACATCACAATATACATATTTACTCATTTTGTGTGTAAACAGAGACTTTGGGATATATATAGTTGGATATTATACATCTTAGAGAACGGATAAATGAATATTTCATATGTTTCCACATTTTGTTATCAAAATGTCAAAATACATGTCATTCAATACATACCCTTTCTTGCTTTGGCACAATGTTCCCCCATCTTATATTCCATCAATCTAACTGTAAGACAAGCATAAGTGACACTTGTTGAAAAGGGAGCCACCCATCTGTGTTTTGTCTAGCAGATCAGGAAATCAGGAGGGAAATTATAATCACTGCTGTGGGTGCTAAATATTGGCTGCTACAGATCTTCATGAAAGTTGTTCACAGTACTGCAATTTCCTAATTTAACTGTGACAAAAAGTTTGAAATTAGTTTACAAGAATGGAAAAAGTGAAATCTAGTGCCAGTTCTTGTTTACATAACCATCAGAAGCAGACTGCAACTGGAGCAGCACTGCTTCCTGCCTGTTTCTTGCTTGACTCAATTTTTGCCCCTGAAGACATAGGCTGTACTTTCCTCCAGCACACTGGTAGATTCCTATTTGGCTACATGGCATTACAACCCAGACCTTAGCACTTTTCATCTTAAATAACATTTACTGTACAAATGTAGGTACTGTTTAATTTGTTTGAAGTTACCTCAACTGTAATAATTATTCATGGGTGACACTGTTTGTTGCAGGATCTCTTACTCGGACTTTGTGAAGACATTCACACATCTTGAGGTTGTTCATCTTGACAGTGACACAAGTCGTGATGAGCCATCGCTGCATCATAAAAGCACTTGGCAGATGCGTCTCTACCAGGGAGCATGGCAACGAGGTGTCTCGGCTGGAGGATGCAGAAATAATCCAGGTTATTAACTCAGAGTAACATTAAACAACCAGTGGATGTGACTGCCTTCATCATAAATTCAAGTGACAGTTACTTTAGTTTTAAGGTTGCAGCTTTCAGCCCTACCAAGACCACAAGTAAATCTACCATGGGAATCTAAATTGAACAAATTTCTAAATAACTGAAATGTTTACCTATATATCAATAAAAAGATGGTCTGGTGATCAGATAGTTTAAGACTTGCTTGGTCTTAGGCAGGGACTGCATCTTCTCCAGTGTTGCTTCTTGATGATACAAAGTGTGGTACAACAGGCTGAATTTTCATAAAATTTTGCGATGTTTTGAGAACATTCATTGGCTTAGAATATATATTGCATAGGAATAAGCTGTAGTGATGATAATGAAAAGAGAAGGAGTTATCCATATAATTTAAATTTTTGTCAATTTACTTTGGAAATAAAGAAGACAGAACAACCTTAAAATATTGACTAATCAAGGCATTACAGATAGATATTAGCATAAGAACTGCATGATATCTCTGCCTCATATGCTTGGGAAAACCATTAGAAATCTTAGTCATTGTATCAGGTCTGTGGGTCAAGATCTGCACCTGGAACTCCTTCAATATGAAGCAGGAATGTTGACCACTCAACCATGGTGTCTGATGGTTTAATATTTTAGTATCGGCTGTTGTTAATGAAGAATATTGTTATTACAGACACATTTCACATCAACCCTCAACTTCATCTAATCCTGAGCGAAATGGAAGAAGTGATTGTTTCACTGAACCAACACAGCATTATGGAACCTAAGGTAAAGGAGATCACACAGCAAGTTTCTTAGAGCATACTGCAGCAGAAACAAGTGCTGTCATTTAAAGGGGCTAGTCTGAGTAGGTATTTCCCATCCATCCTTATTTTTTAAGAAGACACACAGTGACAGATACAGCCCGCAAAATGTTGTATACATAGCTGCAACTACAGACAGTACATGTCTGGGGAATATTCTTACATCATCATATCAATCCACAGGTGCAGACCTTTCGAATCTCAGTAAAATCTGTAGTATACATAATTAGAACATTCATTCCAATTGTCAAGTTTTTGTTGTAAGGAATTCAGTGGCGGCTCGTAGCTAAAATTAGTGGGGGTGCTGCTCCAGAAGCGCACAGTTCCATATAAAGATTTGGCTACTGACATTAAACTTAAGGATTATATACTGTATTGTACAAGTATAAAGAAAGAATTAAAGAAAAGAGGACTCATTATATAAATGTTATCGATAATATCATGTGGAAATTGGGGGTGCTGCAGTTCTGCAGTGCCTATATGCGGGCTGCCCCTGAAGGAATTCCTTCTTTGAAACACATCAATTTTGGATACTATGAATTTTATCTCCAGCAATGAACCTGTTTTTTCTGTAGTTCGTGAGAATTTCCTCCATATGAGGAGGCTGTATGATCATTGTTCATTTAAGTTATACCCATGCACGTCCTTGAGTTTTCTTTAACACTCTGTCATTGACTGACATTCCAGTGTTCTTCCACATAATAGCAGAAAAAGAAATAACATGATTTTGGGGGAAATAAGGAAATTTAATGCTCTGTTGTCAGTTGAAAATGGGACATGACAAATAAGTTAGTAAGATATCGCATTTCATGTTCACAGGTCATAGGCTTCACAGCGTATTCTTTGCCAAAGAACAACTCTGAAACAATAGGAAAACAATTCTTCAAGAAGAACAAGTCTCTTGTTAACTCCCAGTATACAAATAGCAGACAGGTGAGTACCTGCCCAGCTAAAAACAAATTATAGATCACTAATGATTTCTGTATGATAGGTCTTCAGATATGTAAAAATCCATTTTACTAGTGTGAGGATCAGGGTTAGCTGTCAGTATAGTGACTGGCTTTAGGTTCAGTGGTTGGCTTTCAGTTCTTGGTAGGGGTAGGAATTTTTATCTTCACCATCCTACCCAGACTAGGACTGCTGTCTACTTACTACTACCCTCCTATCCAATATGTACTGAAGAGTATAGTAACTGGGGTGTGAAGCTGACCGCTCATATGCATCTAGAGATGAAGTTAAGAATGTGTGGAGCTGCTTCTTCTCCCCTTTCCATCTTAATGCACAGTCACAAGGATAACTTTACTGTTACCTCATTTGAAAGTTGCAAGTACAGAATCTGAAGAGTGATTTTATACCAAGATTCTTTATAATCTATATCTTCTGCTCACTGTTATTAGAGTAGTTATTTGAAGGAACTTATGAAAGGTTAAACATGTAGATTAAATAGGGAATAACAACCAGTATTGGAATTTTTAGGGGAAACCTTTGCAAGACCTGGGAGGAAATGAAATAATGAAACAGACCCAGCAGAGGAACAGATACTACAGCATCCTTTTAACCTACATTTCTAATTTCATAAATATGGTCTTCAGTGTAATGATACTGGTTATCTGTCCATCCATCATATATGTGTCTGTCCCTCATAATAACTATTGGACCAGTTGACAGATTTTCTTAAAGTTTGGCTGGATCTAACACCACCAGAACCCATTTTGCCACTATGCTTTATAATTCATGGTAGTTGATGCAGTTTAATTCTGCAGAAACCTCCAATAATGTTATAACATATTCTGAAACTGTTATGCAGTATGAAATGGTCTGGCCATATTTTTTACAGGTGAGTCATAGGTGCCAACTGGAACAAGGAGGATACCTGATTCTTCCAACGACATTTGAACCAGGACAGGAATCCAGTTTTACACTGCGCGTATATTCCAGCAAACCTCTCAAACTTAAGTGAGTTCACCTGAAACTGGTAAAATACTAAATCCAGGCTCTGAACAATATAAGAATAGAGTACTTTTCTTTCTGTCTTCTCAAATGAGTTATGCTGCCTCGCTTCAGCTGTCTAACATTTAAAAGTAAACTGGACAACACAACTGAAATATACATTAAGATAATGCTGGCTGTTCAGGTACAGTAAAGATTGCAAGTTAAGTAGGTGACCAATATGGAACCTCATTTTAAAACAGGTCTCTCTAATCTCACCATCAGCCTGAGATCATAGATTTAATCTCACATGAAGAAATGAAGATCCATAAATTAACTGTTATCTTAAAATCTCACGGAGCATAGTAGAGAGTTCAAACTGAGTACTTTTGAAATACGTGTACATGTTGTCACCTCCTTACTTAAAAGAAATAACATCTGTACTAATTTATTAATTTAATAATTATTAACAATGAATTTAGTGGAAATTAATAAACATAAATGATATTTCTTTATTGACATCAATTTTTCTCTGAAACATTTTGAGCTAGCAAATATGTATTAGAATTTACATGACTTTCAAAGCAAGGCGAAAACTGTTATTACTTGTAAGACAGTGAATCCAAAACTCTGTCTTGCAAATCTCTTTGAATATAAAAAAGAATAAAAAAGTATACAGAATAAATTTCCAAGTCTCACAGTTTTTAAGAATTCCAGCATCAGAGTGTAATTTATGTTAGTACACACAGTTTGAGGACACAGAAGTCTGATACACCATAAGGGTGCCAGCATGACTATCAATGCTATGCAGGAATCATTGCAATGGTTATCACATGAGGTAAAGGTACCACGCAGCACATGTTAATGCCTTTCCATTCAGCTCTTTCGTGACTGTTTGCCTGTGCAGTACAATCACATTACAAAAACTCCCTCTTCTACCCATGTTCTGTGCTTTTCCTAATACTCACTATCTCTCTCAAAAAATGTGTATGCAATAGAGTTCCTTCTAGATGAATAAGTGTATAATATCCTGTATTTTAGGCAAACATTTCTAGCAAGAAGTGTAAATATTACATTCCTTGTTTTGAAATCAAGTCAGTTTGTATAGCATCTTATAGTTGGGATGTATAAGGGACAGTCAAATGAAAATGGTTCACCACGCATAACTCGCATGGCGTGCATGTTGGTAACACTGGAATTTGCTTATGGTACGAATATCTGGTGGGGACTCGGGAAAGCACAGTGACAACATGCCCTTGCACACTAGTCGTTTGTTTATTGTGCTGGAAGTAAGGTTAGCGCTACATGTCATCATCCAACATCAGTAATGGAGGCAGGTAAAGAAGC